TATTTATTTATTTATTTATTTTTTTGTGACAGAACCGGGGATTGAACTCAGGCCCTTGTGCTTGCCAGGGAAGCGCTTATTCCATTGAGCCATCTCCCCAGCCCCAGCACTGGCTTTTAATAGGGGAGTTCAAGCAGTCTTTAGAATCATACGTGTTGTATTTGATTTTATGGTAACTTTTTCTGTTTTGTGTTTAGTTTACTACATTTTTTATGTGACTCAATTTCACGTCTTTTGCTTACTATATATATATAATTATACACATAGTATATAGCATGTAACATAGTATGTATAATTATATATGTATGTGTATATATATGTATCTATATGTATATATATGTATATAATTTTCCACATAATTTACTGACTCTGTAAAGAGTTTTGATTAGGAAAGGATTCCTTGGGCTTGATTCCCAGATTTACCATTTTCTTGTGTAGCTTTTGACAAGTTACTTGAATCTGCTTCAGTTTCTCCCTTTGTAAAACGTGGATCCTATTATTACCCATCTCATAGGATTGATAATAGAATTGCACTGTGATTTCACCTAAAGACCCTTCAGCTACATTGTATGTTGGAAGTTTTCATAGAATATTAACTCTGGTTAGAAAGTTTGCTTATTTGCTTTTACCTTGCCTCAGGATTTCTAAAGATGAGATCTTCTTTGGTAGGATCGCTTCCATGAATTTCAGTTTCTGTTAAAAACACCAAGATTGGGGCCAGGGAGATGGCTCAGTGGAATAAGCGCTTCCCTGGCAAGTGCAAGGGCCTGAGTTCAATCCCTGGTTCCGGAAAAAAAAATAAAAAAAAATAAAAAAAAACACCAAGATGAAGATAGATTTTTGTACTTTTTTCTTTTTTTTTTAATGTATTTGGTTGTTGCAGGGTCTCACCAGCTTGGACTTGTGATCCTCTTGCTTTCATCCCCCCTCAGCACTGGGATTACAGGCATGTGCCACTACACCTGGACTCCGGGCAGCTCAGCCCACCCTGTGGGTGGGGCTGGTGTGGCATGTGGTACTGCGGATTGAACTGTGGTCTCTGCACTTCCTTAAGCAGGTACTTTAGTCTGCTGAGTTATCTCGCTGGCCCCAGAAGTTTGTTTTAAATGAAGTAATGTCAATAAAAATATCTTCTGTAGTAGAAATTTATAGTCATTATCTTCTGTTTTTCAAAGTGATATCTGTCCCTGAGGCAGGATTAAAGAAAGAATCACCATATCATTTTCTCATATTGATTATATGCAATTTGTTTTTAGGTCGCAGAAAGTATTGATCATATCTCAATGGCCACCTTCAACCTAAGTGGCCATGACACAGGCCCCTTCACTCTTCTGGGTATTCCTGGACTGCAACAGTACCACATCTGGATCAGCATCCCCTTCTGCTTAATCTACTTAGTGGCCCTCATGGGCAATAGTATCCTTCTCTATCTCATTGTGGTGGAGCACAGTCTTCACACACCCATGTTCTTTTTCCTTTCCATGCTGGCAACCACTGACCTTGTACTGTCTACCACATGTGTCCCCAAAACTCTTAGCATCTTCTGGTTTGGTCCCCAGAAAATCAGTTTTCCTGGCTGTCTCATTCAGTTATTCTTTCTGCACTACAGCTTTGTCCTGGACTCAGCTATTCTGCTGGCCATGGCGTTTGACCGCTACGTGGCCATCTGCTCACCCTTGAGATACTCCATGATTTTGACCTCCAAAACTATTGTTAAAATGGGTGTGGGCATCTCTTTCCGAAGTTTCTGTGTTTTTGTCCCATGCGTTTTCCTTGTGAATCGACTGCCTTTCTGTAAGACACATGTCATTGCTCACACGTACTGCGAGCACATAGGCGTTGCTCGGCTTGCATGCGCTGATATCTCCATCAACATCTGGTATGGCTTTTGTGTTCCCATCATGACAGTGATTGTAGACGTGATCCTAATTGCTGTCTCCTATACTCTTATACTTTGTGCTGTTTTTCACCTCCCTTCCCGTGATGCCCGCCAGAAAGCACTTGGAACCTGTGGTTCTCACGTCTGTGTCATCCTTATGTTCTATATACCAGCATTCTTCTCCATTCTTGCTCATCGCTTTGGGCATAATGTCCCACGTACGTTTCATATTATGTTTGCTAACCTTTATGTTATCATCCCTCCTGCACTCAATCCTGTTGTCTATGGAGTAAAGACTAAGCAGATTCGGGACAAAGTCATTCTGCTTTTTGCCAAAGGGTCCCATTGATATAATGCCTGAGGTCTGTAAAGTCAGTTGTCTAGGGTATATTAGGTCAAAGATTGGACCTGTGTCCAGTGGTCATGGAGAAAGGACAGATGAAAAAGTCCTTACTAGTCTTGAATGAGGTTTGCTTTCATTGTTGTTTTAGGCAAAAGTCTATTCAGTCATTCCAGTTTCAGAAAATGATTTCTGACTTTATAAAATGATAAATACTTATTTTGATTCTGGAAACAATACTTGTATTCTTCTTGGCTCCCAGGTGCTCTTTGGAAAAGTCTTAATAAAATCAGTAAAATTATTGATATCTTACTCTCCTTATAAAAAAACTAAGGAGGGGGCTGGGGAATTAGCTCAGTGGCACAAGTGCCTGCCTGGCAAGCACAAGGTCCTGAGTTCGATCCCTAGTACCAAAAAAAAAAAAAAACCAAAAAACAAAAAACAACTAAGGAGGGCTGATGAGATGGCTCAGTGGTCTAAAGCACCTACTTAGAACAAGCTAAGCTAAGCAAAGCAAAGCACAGGGACCGCAGTTCAATCCTCCAGCACCACATGCCAGCCAGCCCTGCCCCCTGGTGGGCTGAGCTGGCCACACACACAAAATAAATAAATAAATAAATAAATAAATAGGATCAGGCATTGTTGTTAGGGCCGGGGAGACGTCTCAGTAGGATAAGCGCTTGACCAGCAAACGCAAGGATCTGTGTTCAATCCCCCGTTCCGCCAAAAAAAAAAAAAAAAAAAACAAAACTAAGGAATATGAATTGTGCTTTAAAATTTATACATCATAGAAGTATAGTTATGCATTATGGTGAATAAAGAGTTACTGTTCTTATGATTCTATAAGTTTCTCAATTTTTCATATGGCAGTGGCTATTCATTTATTTCTAGGCCATTTGAAGTATAACTCCTGGCTTATCCTAGGTTTACGAGCAATATTTATCAAGTACATGAATCAAACAAAAAGATCATGAAATTATTAAAGTGCAGTTGTTTTTCATAAGTGAAGGAAAAGGGCCAGGTTAAAACCCAAAACTAATATTTCAGTGTTGAGAAAACCAAAGAAGCTGTTTGTGGCTGGAGTTCTCCATAAAGAACGAAGGGAGTAGACTAAATCACTGTGCTCTAAGATGGAAAACACAGACAAATTATGAGATGGTTTGAGACTTGACCAAATGGGGAGACTTATCGTCCCAAATCCTTTTGTTTGAAGCTCAAGAGGTATAGTCCCAAGCCAAAAATGGATCTCTGCTTGTATGACTCGTTAGCTTCTCAAATTCAGTATGTCTCACTTGGTCATAGCAGGTCTCTTAGTGATGCATTCAGACAGTGGATAGCTGTTTTTAGGTGTTTGCCAGGTAAATGGTGAATGATGTCCAATTCTCCCTGTAAATAATACATGTGTCCTCCAAACCTGTCACTTCTCACTATAACACAACCTGTCAGAGTCCTTGGTCCAGTATGAGCACCATCCCCTCCTCACCATAGTGCTTAAGCAACCATTGCCTCAGGGACCTCAAAATGTCTGAGTACCAGGAGGCTTCTCTCTTTCATATGCTTTCCCACTTGTACTCTAATGCCGGAGTCACAAGACCTTGAGATGTGTATTTCTTTTTTTTTTTTTTTTTTTTGAGAGAGAGAGAGAGAGAGAGAGAGAGAGAGAGAGAGAGAGAGAGGCCAGCTCAGCCCACCAGGGGGCGGAGCTGGCTGGCATGTGGTGCTGGGGGATAGAACCGCGGTCCCTGATGCTTTGCCAAGCTTGTTCTAAGTAGGTGCCTTAGACCACTGAGCCATCTCTCCAGCACGAGAGGTGTATTTCCACAATAACTCACAGCATTAATTTTTTTTTTTTTTTTTTTTGCGGAACCGGGGATTGAACTCAGGCCCTTGTGCTTGCCAGGGAAGCACTTATTCTACTGAGCCATCTCCCCGGCCCCTCACAGCATTAATTTTTTAAAAAAAATTTGTTAGTACGTGTGTGGTACACAGTATTTGCATTCCTTGTGATGTGGAGTTAGTAGGTGCACATAGCATGGCTTAGCTGCTTTTTTCGTCCACTCCCTGTCTCTTGATCTAACTTGCTGTTTTGCGTTGTCTTTTATTTTACTCCTTATTTATAATTTGGGTTGCTCATACAAGAGAAACAATGCAATATTTAAGAGTGTGTGTTTTGTTTGTTGCACTAAACATTATGGTCTCAAGTTGCGTCCGTTTCCCTACAGATGACTGAGGTTTATGGAGATTACTAAAACAAAACAAAACAAGAAAAACAATCAAAAATGAGAATTCCATTTGACACACGGTCCTGAGTTCAATTTCTGATACAAAAAAATTGTATCAGAATTAATGTGTATTATGTACATGTGCCAAGTCTAAGAAATGTAGGTATTATGTATTAAAACATATACTAATAAAAAATAAATAACAAAATACTCTTCAGAACAGTACATGTAATTATCACACAGTCATAAAATATAAATTCAGATATAATTCTCTGATTTTGAAGGACCACTGTCGCATATTAAAAGCTGATGTTGGGGCCAGGGAGGTGGCTCAGTGGAATAAGCGCTTCCCTGGCAAGCACAAGAGCCTGAGTTCTATCCCTGGTTCCACAAAAAAAAAAAAAAAAAAAAAAAGCTGATGTCAGTAAGCCATGTTTAGTAGCACACACCTGTAATCTCAGTATTGAGAAGGCTGAGTCAGGAGGATCACTGTAAGGTCAAGGCCAACCTGGGGTACATAGCAAGATACTTTCTCAAAAAACAAAGATAATGCTGGAATGCTAGACATATAGGCTGCTTTTAATTATTATGAATTTTACTGCTATAAATGTGGGTAAACATGTATCACTGTACTATGGTGTCTTTAACTCTCTTGGGAGGATACCTAGAAGGGAAATAGATGTAACAAATGGAATTCTCATTTTTGGTTATTTTTCTTTTTTTTTTTCTTTTTTTTTTTCCAGGTATCTATAATTGTATTTTGCAAAGGATTACACATCCAATGACTTGACTAATGACGTACAGTTTATGTCCTCCCACATGTCCTCCCACACTGACAGATAAAACACATTCTCTAAGCACAAAGCTTATATTAACAAATAACTTTCTGCTTAAAAACAAAATTTCAGTTAATAACCACAACGGGGATTTAGTTATTTAATGCAACCACTAATCTAATGTCATCAATAGGATCTAAACAGTTTTACCACAAAACCAGGGATATATTCAATGGACATGCATTAATAATCTATGCAGTTTAACATTATACCAGAAAAGAAATTGAATATAAAAGTACTCTTAATTTTTGGTAGTTTTCAAATTTCATGGCACAAATTACCCAAACAAGGAAAACCTGTAAAAACAGATTTTAAATATTTTAATAAAATGGTAGAAAACTGAAGCCTTTAAGTTTTCACAGTTGGCTTTAAGATTTAAATGTCAAGCTGGCCCCAATCTGTCAAAATTGACAGGTAAATATTTACAATGACTAGACAGACTTTCCTTGCCTGATATGGGAGGTCTAACATCTTACCAAAACACTTTGGGGTCAATTTCTCAATGCAAACGTTTTTGAGTAAATACCGTGGTGATATAAACGTAGAGACATATGTAGTATCGTGACAAGGATGAAAACTAACATACAAGTCCATCTTATTTCTGACCTGTCAGCTTAAACCCTTGTGGCAACCAAAAATTCAACACTGTCTCCTTGTATAAAACTAAGAATAGAATGACTTTACCCTATTGGATAACATTTTTCTACATAATTATCTTTTACTACATATCAAACCAGGGCTCAAACTCCATTAACTTGCTTCCATAGTGTAAATTTGCAGAGGACCAAATTTATATATAAACTGATATGGCCAACTCTAAAGGCTAAGCGTACTTTTCAAACAAGCAAACTGTTTCCCCATTGTTAGTTGTATGTGCCATTTTAGTTCTTGAAATTTATGTGACCACCAGTAAGAAATGAATTAGCAAAGTGTTGAACATATCTTGTACTTTTCAACAAGGCTAAAGTGCAAAAT